CTAGTCACAGGACCACTAGTTGAGGCAATAGTAGTGCTAGTCACAGGATCACTAGTGGAGGCAGTAGTAGTGCTAGTCACAGGACCACTAGGTGAAACCGTAGTAGTGCTAGTCACAGGACCACTAGTTGAAACAGTAGTAGTGCTAGTCACAGGATCACTAGTTGAGGCAGTAGTAGTGCTAGTCACAGGACCACTAGTTGAAACAGTAGTAGCGCTAGTCACAGGACCACTAGTTGAAACCGTAGTAGTGCTAGTCACAGGACCACTAGTTGAAACAGTAGTAGTGCTAGTCACAGGACCACTAGTTGAAACAGTAGTAGTGCTAGTCACAGTATCACTAGTTGAGGCAGTAGTAGTGCTAGTCACAGGACCACTAGTTGAAACAGTAGTAGCGCTAGTCACAGGACCACTAGTTGAGGCAACAGTAGTAGTGCTAGTCACAGGACCACTAGTTGAGACAGTAGCAGTGCTAGTCGCAGGACCGTTAGTTGAAACCGTAGTAGTACTAGTCACAGGACCACTAGTTGAGGCAACAGTAGTAGTGCTAGTCACAGGACCACTAGTTGAGGCAGTAGTAGTGCTAGTCGCAGGACCGTTAGTTGAAACCGTAGTAGTGCTAGTCACAGGACCACTAGTTGAGGCAACAGTAGTAGTGCTAGTCACAGGACCACTAGTTGAGACAGTAGTAGTGCTAGTCACAGGACCACTAGTTGAGGCAACAGTAGTAGTGCTAGTCACAGGACCACTAGTTGAGGCAACAGTAGTTGTGCTAGTCACAGGACCACTAGTTGAGGCAGTAGTAGTGCTAGTGACAGGACCACTAGTTGAGGCAACAGTAGTAGTGCTAGTCACAGGACCACTAGTTGAAACAGTAGTAGTGCTAGTCACAGGATCACTAGTTGAGGCAGTAGTAGTGCTAGTCACAGGACCACTAGTTGAAACAGTAGTAGCGCTAGTCACAGGACCACTAGTTGAAACCGTAGTAGTGCTAGTCACAGGACCACTAGGTGAAACCGTAGTAGTGCTAGTCACAGGACCACTAGTTGAAACAGTAGTAGTGCTAGTCACAGGATCACTAGTTGAGGCAGTAGTAGTGCTAGTCACAGGACCACTAGTTGAAACAGTAGTAGCGCTAGTCACAGGACCACTAGTTGAAACCGTAGTAGTGCTAGTCACAGGACCACTAGGTGAAACAATAGTAGTGCTAGTCACAGGACCACTAGTTGAAACAGTATAGTGCTAGTCACAGGACCACTAGTTGGAACCGTAGTAGTGCCCAGTAGCCTTTTCGGTAACATATAGAATATTCGAGTGTTGATAAAAGGTGACTCCAGTATACTCCTTGGAAGGATCCGCCTGAGCTATTATACGATAAGCATTGTTGTTCTTCGGGTAAAAAAAACACCAACGTCACCCTCGCTGATGCCAAACACGAACATATCGTTGCCCGAAGCCTCGATATTAGAAATAGTCTTCTCGGCAACAGGTAGCCATTGGTTGCATTGGAGTCTCCAAAGCATACGGATACCATCATCACTAGAGTAACCAGCTAGGTACCATGCACCATAGTCAGTGAAACTGAAGGACTCGGTAGTTATTTGGCCCACCGGGAGGAGGTTAGGGAACGCCGTCCTATCAGCAACGCAGAAGTCACCCGAACACTGGCCAGATGAAGAGGATGTAGTAGTGCTAGTCACAGGACCACTAGTTGAGACAGTAGTAGTGCCAGTCGCAGGACCGTTAGTTGAAACCGTAGTAGTGCTAGTCACAGGACCACTAGTTGAAACAGTAGTAGCGCTAGTCACAGGATCACTAGTTGAGGCAGTAGTAGTGGTAGTCACAGGACCACTAGTTGAAACAGTAGTAGCGCTAGTCACAGAACCACTAGTTGAAGCAGTAGTAGTGCTAGTCACAGGACCACTAGTTGAAACAGTAGTAGTGCTAGTCACAGGACCACTAGTTGAAACAGTAGTAGTGCTAGTCACAGGATCACTAGTTGAGGCAGTAGTAGTGCTAGTCACAGGACCACTAGTGAAACAGTAAAGCGCTAGTCACAGGACCACTAGTGAGGCAGTAGTAGTGCTAGTGACAGGACCA